TCACGATTCGGAGTTTCGATGGTTCGTATCAGTCCCGCGAACAGCAGTGTTACCAGGTGCGGGTGTTCCCAGGGAGTCAATATCTATCCCCTTGCCGCTCAATCGTGGGGGAGGGTGAGTGCGTGGTCCTGTAGGAGTGCTGGCACAAACCTCAACTCTATCCAGTGTTGTTCTCTCACGGGTCTGGCTCCCTCTCCACCCGGCAACACGTCCCCCTCCCCTCACCCTTCCATGAGCCTGGCTTTCTTTCTATCTGGCATCCGAAGCACGACTGGACCTTTCTCTATCCGGCAAACAAGTCTCTCTCCCCCACCCTCCCACGGGCCTGGCTCTCTCCATGATCCCTTCCCTTGCCGGTAATGCGACCCCCTTCTAGAGCCAATGTCTCCCTCTATCCGGCAACATGACCCTCTCTTAAAGGCTTCGCGCTCTCTATCTGGCAATACAGCCTCTTCCCCTATCACCTAACCTCCCAAACAGAGTCACTTTATCTTCGTCTGTTTCTATCCGGCAATAGGACCTCCTCCACCCCCCCCTCTCCCTCGAGACATGTCTTTCTGTATCCAGCGACACGACCCTCCAGGACCCCCTCCTCCACCCTATCCTTCTCAAGGGTTTCTGTCTGGCTCTATGTGTTGTGGTGATCCTCTTCTGGCTTCAATTCTATGGCTCTTTAATCCTGTGACTGGAGTCTCTCTTGACTCCCGTTCTATGGTCAGAGAGAGAGAGAGAGAGAGAGAGAGAGAGAGAGAGAGAGAATGAATGCGTGTTAGTCCTCTCACACACACACACACACACACACAACACACACACACACACACACACACACACACACATACACACAGATACAACCCCGCCACCCCCTCATCTCCTCACCTCCGCACTTTTTTTCCGTCTAGAATCTGTCTGTCGGGCTGTCGAGGACTGTCTGTCGGTGTGCCTGTCGCTGTCTCCCTGTCGTTGTTTGTCGGCAGGAGGCCATTTCTTCCTCTTACTCACGTCTGTGTCTCTCCCCGTGGCCGTTTTAATTTGCTCTTCAACTATTACCGTCCACGGTACACGTACTTAATGTGGGTGACACGCACACACACACACACACACGCACACACACACACACACACACACACACACACACACACACACACACACACACACACACACACACACACACACACACACACACACACACACACACACACACACACACACACACACGCACACACGCACACACACACACACACACACACACACACACACACACACACTTAAATTTCCAATTTTTCATTTACAAACAAAAGAATCAAGACTCAGTGGTTTTTTAAGCCTGGAAGTTGGTTTGTTTGGTCGGTTCGAATCCCGTGATTTATCTTTGGTGTACCTTGTGGTTCACAAAGCACAGAAGCACCAGGAGTCATTTTATTTAAAACACACGACGGAATCTCCTCTACTGTTGTCTCAACAATTCACCTAATGCTGATTTTAACTAACTTAACCCAATCAAGATTAATCGAACCTCATCTAACCTAATCTCACTTAACCTAAGCTAAGCTAAGCTAAGCTAAACTAAGGTAAGCTAAGCTAAGTTAAGCTAACTTTACTTTTCCTAACAGTAGATGAACTGAAGGTAGCATGGGAAGCGGAGTCAAACCAAACCCAAGGGATTTTTACAAATGTATCAAACTAAAACACGAGACAAGATTGGACCAATACAGTCAGATACAGGCGAGCTAACGGATAACGACGGAAAAATGAGCAATAATCTGAATAGGTATTTTTCAACAGTTTTCACCACTGAAATTTAAACATGATACCCGAGGCACAGACTCTATACAGAGATAGTGGAGAAAATAGATTAAGCGAGATAGTAGTGACTAGTAACGATGTTAGTAAGCAAATAGACAAGCTAAAGCCTAATAAGTCACCAGGTCCCGATGAGATATTTGCCAGAGTATTAAAGGAATGTAAGGAAAAGCTATGCCCTAAGCAAATTTGTTTAGCATGTCATTAAAAACGGGTGAAGTAACAGAATCCTGGAGGATAGCGAATGTGATATCGATTTTCAAAAAGGGAGATAGATCTCTATCCTCAAACTACCGTCCAATCAGTTTAACATAAATTGTAGGCAAATTACTGGCAACAATAATTTCAAACTCTAATCGAAATCACCTGGAGAAGCACAAGTTGGTTAATGATTCCCAATATGGCTTCACAAGTGGGCGTTTATGTCTGACTAATCTATGAACATTCTTTTCAGCTGTTTTCGAATCAGTGGACGACGGACACGATTATGATGTATACATCGACTTTAGCAAAGCCTTCGCCAGAATCCTTCACGAAAGACTAATAGGTAAAGTGAAGGCACATGGAATTGAAGGAGTTATTCTAAAATAGATTTGGGTCTGGTAACAGGACAAGAAACAGAGAGTAAGCATTAACGTCACTAAATCCGATTGGGGTAACGTCACAAGTGGAGTACCCCAAAGCTTAGTGCTTGGACAATTACTATTTATTATATACACATAAACGAAATAGATATAGGCGTAGACAGCAACATAATCAAAATTGCTGAGGACACTAAAATTGGGCGTGTAATTGACTCTGACGAGGACTCCGCAAAACTACAGGAAGATCTAAACAAATGTTTTGAATGATCTGAAAAATGGCAGATGAAATTTAATTTGGACAAATGTAAAATACTTAGTGTAGGTCCAGGAGATGTAAACAGAGAAGCCAGATATCAGATAGAGAAAATCGAATGTGAGAAAGGTTTAGAAGTATTGATAAGTAGGAATCTTAAACCTAGTAAACAATGTGTATTTGCTCGAAACAAGGCTAATAAAGTACTTGGGTTCATACAAAGGAGTGTTAGTTGCATGACTAGCGAGGTTATCCTAAAACTATATCTTGGGCCTGTGAGCTGTGAGACCTCACTTTGATTTTGCAAATCAGTTCTGGTCACCGTACTACAGAATGGGTAATAGAATCCCTAGAAAAAATTAAGAGGAGAATGACAAGACTAATCCTCGGCATTAGAAACCTTGAGTACAGAGACAGGTTAAAGCATCTTAATTTGCACTCCCTCGTGAGACGAAGAGTGAGGGGCGATATGATAGAGGTGTATATATGGAAGTCAGGGCTAAACATAGGTGATATAACAAAGGTAGTGTTACAACCTTCACACCCTCTTCTAGGACTCACTAGAGGATGTATAGTCAGCCCATAGGCCACAGACCCTTACCTTATTTCTGGCTAACAATCTCCTGACAGCTGGCAGGTGTTTATTTTAATACCACTGTTCCCAATAAAACTGGTTTAATCAAAACACAGCTTTAAACGATACAACAATATATATTTAACAACAAAATATAATGAATATGTGCTCTCCATCCATGCACATACAAAAGGCTACAAATCAATTCACTCAGAATAATGTTATCTCCACCAAATACAGTGCTCTCTCACTACTACAATACTCTTTAGATTACATGAATATATTACACTTTAGTTGACACCATAATTATCCATGATTCCCAGATAATAATAGATAAATGTGCACCACACAAGCTTGACCCTCCTATCCTCTTCAACCTGGCTACAGAGTGGACGTCGCCAAATAAAAAATGTTCCAATACTTTCTTGTTTCATCAACATATAATTTCTAATTCTTCTTATGCTTCACACCTGCTTCTTACAGTCTTTCATAACTATCCACAAAATAAAAATGCATTCTACAAAGTTTACATAATGAAACAAATACTATTATACATATTAATATAAAAATAATTAAAATATTTTTAAAAGTCTTTACCATAAGCTTGGAATTTCGATTCTAAAGAAAAACAGAACACAATAGAAACTGAATACAATGGATAACGGAAACAAATATTGAGGGAAAGGGGAGATGACCGTAACAGTACTCAAACTATCCATCCAGGAGCGAGTTCGTAGCAATGGTTTTAAGTTAGACAAATTTAGTTTTAGGCGCGAGATAGGTAACCATTAGGTTGGAAATAGAGTACTGGATGAGTGGAATAAGTTACCAAACATCATCATTCAATCGAATACGCTGGATAGCTTCAGACATAGGTTGGACGGATATATGAACGATAGGGGTTGGGTGTAAACGGGACTGCCCAGTATGTTCTTATGTTATGTTAATTTACTGTAACATAATCTCTTGTAGCGTTATTGCGTTTCATGCTCAGGTAATGTAATATGAGGCCAATCTTCTGGTGATACCAAGTATTTAATAGCTCATAGCTCATGAACCAGTAGGAGTCATCAGTGTCGAAACTCGTGAACCCCAAACTTGACCTGACCTCGCTTCAAGAAGACAATACAGGTCATCAGTGTGAAGGGTCAGGGCTAACTTATAGCTAGTGGTGTCAGGGCCAAGTTAGGCCAAATTAGCTTGACTGAGAGAGTCAGCAGCTGAATGATCAGATCAGGTCAGTTAACGATCGCGTAAGCAAGTGGGCCGGGTGTGTGTGTGTGTGTGTGTGTGTGTGTGTGTGTGTGTGTATTTTGTGTGCGCATTTGTGTGTAAATGTGTGTTTGTGCGTTAGCGAGCGCGCGTTTTTTGTGTGTACGTGTGTGTGCTTTGTGTGCGCATTTATGTGTGTGTGTGTGTGTGCTTTGTGTGCACATTTGTGAGTGTGTGTGTGTGTGTGTGTGTGTGTGTGTTTGCTTTGTGTGCACATTTGTGAGTGTGTGTGTGAGTGTGTGTGCTTTGTGTGCACATTTGTGAGTGTGTGTGTGTGGTTTAAAACCAATACTGTATAAAACATCTCGTGCCTAATCACACAATTCTTCAGCACTTTCTTCAGTATAGTGAGGATTCAACGCTTCAGTAGTTAGTTAGTTCGCTTATATATAATTCCGACATTTATCACCTGTTATTCCCCTTATATAATGGCAAAGTTAACACCTAGCCAAACCCAACTTAACGTAACGTCAACTAATGTAATCAAAGCGTGATACTGTTCCTGAATGACACTCACCTTTAAGCATGGGACAGATGCGGCGCCAGATAGTGAGACATCCATTGCGGTGGTACTGACCAAGAGCCAACTCCATGAAGAATAACGGCAGACCTCCAAACACCAACATGATCCCGTAGGGCACCAAGAACGCTCCTGTGGGACGCCGGGGGAAGACTTTTATTAGTTAGTGAGAGAGAGAGAGAGAGAGAGAGAGAGAGAGAGAGAGAGAGGGATATTATTATATATTTCAAAAGCAAAGCTAAACATATACAACACATGTATATAACACCTTTATAAACATTTATTTAACCAAACACCCCCCCCCCCAAGCTTTTATAACACACACAAAAAATAAATGTGGCGAAAATATAAATATCTCTCCAACACACCTGAACAGTAGACCTCTGTACCCCGTTTACTCCTCTGTGTATCCCGTTTATTCAAATATACTCTGTATATGCCTCTATACATCACACCAATATCTCTATAAACCCTCATATATGTTTTCTTACATACTCCCAGTCTCCTGTATGCTCCTTTAAGTATGCCAAACCTCCTCTGTTCTAGTAGCAGATGTAGAGGCCTTCTGTAACCTAATCCAGCGTCCCTTGTAGACCTCAATATATCTGTCTTTGCCTCTATACACCCTCGTCTATGCTGTCTAACCCCGTCTATACCTCCTACACTCCTGTATACCCTTCCAAGTATGCCTGACCTCCTCCATTCTGGTAGCAGATGTAAGGGAAACGCCACACGTTGCCAAGGTCGACGGCGAACCCCACCACGGCCAACAGGAACTCAACCTTCTTCCCCCAGGTGTCTCTCTCCGGCTCGCTGCTCGTCCATTTGGCGCACTGTGGGGGCGAGAGATAGAAGGGTGAGATAGCTGGAGATAGAAAGTTAAGATAGACAGAGATAGGTAGCTGTGATAGATGGAGATAGATAGATAAGATAGAAAGAGATAGGTAGACGAGATATATAGAGATAGAAAGGAGAAATAGAGGGATAGAAAAACGAAATAGCCAGAGATAGGAGGGTGAGAGAGATAGAAAAAGAGAAGTGATATCGAGATATATTAGAATGAAATAGGTGAGATAGATAGAGATAGGGGTAGGAAAGCGAGATAGTTAGCGATAGGAAGATGAAATGTATAGATATAGGAAAGTTATATAGATAGAAAAAATCTCTTTAGTCGAGGACATGAAGAGATAGTCCAACTTCTTAGGTCACCTGACTGAAATGAGAGGAAAAACAGCGATGAAAGCCAGTTATAGGTGTGTGTGTGTGTGTGTGTGTGTGTGTGTGTGTGTGTGTGTGTGTGGGTGTGTGTGTGTGTGTGTGTGTGTGTGTGTGTGTGTGTGTGTGTGTGTGTGTGTCTAATTATATCTGGCGAGACAATATAGTGATATTGATCTATGGTTGACGCTAAATTTAACACGAGGTGTGGGAATTTAATTACTGCCCAAATTAAATAGTAATTAGAGTGTATAGCAACAACACACACACACAGACACACACACACACACACACACAGACACACACAGACACACACACATACACACACACACACACTACTACTACTACTACTTTTTTTTTTAATGGCCTCCAGCCTCCTTCAATAGCCACACCTTCGCCGCCATTTTATTACCCTAAAATTAAATATCCTAATACATAAGTAGCTATCCTAGCTGTGTTGATTTAGTTCAGTCGCAGATCTATGCGCCATTCAGTGACTGTTGCCTCATAGTCAATATCTGCAACTGTTGTCGGCTTTGGGGCTGATGCTCTCGTTCCCCTGAGGCAGAGCAAAGCAGACCTAAGGAGAGAGAAGGACAGTCGACATCTTTTCCAGGATGGAAAATAGCTTCTGGGCTGCTGCTTCTGTTCGGATAGCACCTCCGCGAGTCTGACGTAGAAGCATCTTGCACTTGGTCCCATTCAACCAGAGGTTGTGAACACACAAGGAATAAAGCTGCCTTGATCAACGTTCTACATTCTCTCTCCGTATGCCCTTATCTTGTAGTTCTCGTTCCTCCTGTGTGCAGCATCGAGAGCTAAGTTACGGTGACATGCGGCCATGGGATAAAAAATCCTGATGTCGAAGAAGGCTCGCTGTCCCCGCGTCCAGAATCCTCGAGCACTGACGTCAACACGGGCTTCGTTGGATGTGTTTGAAGTCCTATGTTGGAAATTCTCACCGTCCAATGGAAGGAGAATCGGTTCTACTTCGTCAAGCCTCATGCATATGAAGCCCCCTTTCTTGCACACCATGGCGTAATCGACGTCATAGGAAGAGCCACACATGCATTGGGAGGGCAAACCTTCTACTGGCCTACCATACCTTAGAGCATTGGCATCTGTAAATTCTTGTTTATTGAGACTGAAACCATTTGCCCTTATCGGTAACGTAGTTAACCAGTTCGAGGCGCCCACCTCCTGTGCTATAGCTACTTTTTTACTTATTACTTTGGCCGTGCTGTCGTTCTGTCGTAATGGACCTTCGAATCTTGTTTACTTCACTGGTATCCGCCTCCCCTGTTGCGTTCTGAGCTATTATGTGGTCTGTGAGGGCTGCTGTGAGCTTAACTGAGTTTTGATGTTCGGTGGCAGCAATATCCTCTGAATTGGTCAATCCCATTCCTCCCATTCTCGGTGGTAGTGCAAGGAGTGATCTTTCTGCTGGGGTTAAGTGAGGGTGCTTAACTAATTTGGGAATGAAAAAGACGCTGATAGCTTCTTCCAAAGGGTGGAGGAGAGGTCCGATATCAGGGATAGTGCACATCAGGTAATTCCAGCGATGCTTGACTCCATGGGTGAATGCCGCAAAAGCCGCATGTGGCTCTGTGTTAGCAATCTCAGACAGAGCTTGGATTTCCCTAACCCACTCATTCACCTTTCCCATTACGTACTCGGTCTTGAAGTCCGTCGTGCCGATTACTGTGCCTAAGTGTCTATGGCCATCCTTTGTTATTTTGACCTCACTTCCACCGAACACCTCCATTATCCGTTCATAAGGTTCTGGCTTCACAATGAGGAAGGACTTGCTGGCGTTTGGGTGGTACCCTATTTGTGGCCTCGTAATGCTACCAGGTCCCACCACTTTTTTATGTCCTCCACTTTTCCTGCTCCTGTAAGGTCATCAGCGTACGCCACTTGCTTGACCTCAGTTGTTTCAAGTTTTATTGTGTGTTGGAACACAGATAGGCCTATTGCGTACATTGCCATTGCAACAGGGTCCCCCTGCGTTGTTCCCTCGGTTGACTGTGTGATGGTATCACCTCTTAGAGCCTGGTTGATTACTATATAGAGGTCTGATGGGTTCCTATAGGAGTTTTCAACATACATTGCAAAGCTTGGACACTTGATCTTGATGTTGTGCAGTGCGGCCTTGCAGTTTAGTATGTTGAATGAGTTTGAAGCGTCTACCAGGAGAACGGTCTCACTATGACGTTGCTCAAATATCGTTCTCATGGCGTGAATGGCAGCTTCCCCTCCAGCCTGGTGGCCAGCACAAACTTGCAGGTTCCCTGCTACTGCCCTGATATCATCCTTTACCACCTCCATTATGCATTTTCCGATGATCCGCCTCAGCACTTCCCCCACCCCTATAGGCGGGGATGGCCCAATTCAGCGCCGCCAATTCAGCGCCGCCGTTTCAGCGCCAGCCCATTTCAGCGCCAGACTATTCAGCGCCGAGACCTTTCAGCGCCTGTGCGTTCCGTTCAACTCAGAAGCTATCTGTCTTTCATTAACGTGGTATAACACTGTATACTACACTTGATTTATATTATGTTGTATTAAACTTATTAATATTTGGTTAGGTTAGGTTAGGTTAGGTTAGGTTAGGTTAGGTTAAATCAACCAATCCAATAAATATGTATGATTCTTTGAAGAAATTATTGATTTGGTGGCGCTGAAACGGTGGCGCTGAATAGTCTGGCGCTGAAATGGGCTGGCGCTGAAACGGCGGCGCTGAAAAGGCGGCGCTGGAATGGCGGCGCTGAATCGTACCCTACCCCCTATAGGCCTACATCCTGGATTCTTATCCAGGGGAATGAGGTGGCAGGCTGTCAGAGCATGGAGGTGTTGGCAGCACGAAGATGCCAGCTTTCTTGCAAGGATGGCAATGGCAGTGCAGAGATCACTTGTTACGGGGCCAAACTTGTTAGTGCTGAGGATGACTCTCCAACCGTTTGCATCCAGACCTGAAGGGCCGGCACCTCCTCGAGTTTTCAGTGTCTTTTTCACACCATCCCTCCTGTTACTTTTTCGAACAGGACAGCATTTGGTGGGATATAGTCACCCTGGAACCTGATGCCTTCGTCTTCACTTGGAGGGGGATGTTTTTCTTTCAGTTGTTTTAATGTCTCTCTGTTTATTGGCAGAACCCCACCGGAGGATTCCTCTGTGAGAGATCTTACAACCGGAGACACTTTTCCCACACGCATTTTGTTTCCAAACTTTCTTGCAACGTCATCGGTGTTTTGCTTTCCGTCTCCTGTAAATTTTAGTCTCTCCTGCAGTGTTCTTGCTTCATATAGGAGATCATCAAGGGCCCTATTCTGCCACACTGTCAATCTTCTCTTCATTGCTGCCACATTTTCTTTGTGCTTAGTTTTTGTGTGTCCTCTGACAGAATAGATGTCGTATTATTGCCAGTATTAGAAGAGCTAAAGGGGCAAGGAAGCAGTCCTGAGTGTACTCAGTTATGAGGCGAATCATCTCCCGAATCATTTCTTTGGTGGCTGCACACTTGGGTGGTTCAAACAGGTTAGCTGGCGACCCCCTGACAATTTCTGAGTAAGTTTCTTTAACCCATATGTCCGCATTTTCCATCGACATGCCATTCCTCTGTGGTGGCTGTCTCTCATTTACCTCGTGGACATCTGCTACTATTGGAGCAGCGTTTATTGTTACTACATTTTCAGGTTGAGTAGACTCACTGTTATCATTTAGGATATCATCGGGCGGTTGGGTCCCGGCGATATCCACTGAAGCCTCCTGTGTCTGCTCCCTGCCTTGTGGGTTCCGACAATTGTTTCCCTTTCTGCAAACCACACATGGTCGGTTGTTTCTCGCACAATCACAGATTGTGCAATTTTGGTTCTGGCTAGCACAAACGCAACAATGTCTGTTACCCGGCATAGTGTTTCGCACATTGGGCGACAGTTACGTCCGCCTCCGACATCTGCTTTGGTCCCATACAGGAGAAAAAACTAGTTCTTAGGAGGAAAGGGTGGAGAGGTGACAGGCTGGACTGCTGTGTCCGGGAAGTAGGGGCATTTTATTTTATTTTTTTTTTTTTACAGAAAGGAGGTGTGAAAGAAGATTAGAGGTGGGGGAAGGAAGTTATAGTTCGGAAACTGAAAAAGTTTAGGAGGAGGTAAGAGAGGGAGGGCTGACCGCCTAGCTAAGCTAATAGTGTGTTAGGGTTGTGTCATGGGTTAGTTATTGTCTGTCGGTACAGGCACTAGACATCCTACCCTATCCCATACATGGGTGTTTTAAGGGCCTTATTCCATATTCCGCCGACCCTACTGGCGGATGTTGGTCTAGGGAGGTTGTCTATTGCCTGGCCGTGTAGATCGGGGGTGGTAATGGACCTTTTGAGATTTGGTAACTTTTTGGGAACCACGTATGGTTGTTTTCTGTCTGGTGGGAGTCTTTGAAGGAGTTCTTGCTCTGATCATTCTATCTTTTGCCAGATTCTGCTGGCCAGGGTGTGCAGCTGCTGGTTGATAGGTTTCATTCTCAGGTTTCTATGTATCTCGGCTGTGGTTCTGGTGAAGGGGTATCTGTTGCCTAATCTTAGGGCTTCATTTTGAACAACCTGTAATTTTAACATTTGAGTGGT